AGCCTGATGACCCAGCTTACCTCTACAGGCCAGCTCAATACTATATTTTTCAGATGAGTTTTATTTAAATGTAAGCTTTTTCTGAATTAGAACAGTTCTATTGCACTTCAAGCGCATTAACTTTGACCAAATTCTTAGCAAGTTATTTGCTATCTTAATACTTGCCAGAAACAAAGTTATTCTCTTCCTTCCCATATGCTTGTAGTAGCATTTCTGCTTGAAGCCTAGCTTGTAGTTTATGAGCTTCTGGATGGCTGTCACTTAAGGGTAGCAGGTAGCAAGCTGCTGAAGGTATATAAATTAAATTCCCAGAGTAGAGCTAGAAGATTTTTTAAAAATACATATACTGAGAATTTTTCTGCTGATATATCTAGCCAGAACAGCAGCCTCTAGCTCCCCATAATACAGGGCCTGAAGTGGAGATTGCTGCACTGTCAGGGATAGAGTTCAGCACAGCTGTGACTGGGACAGAGGTATTTAATCTTGAGCTTCTTGCAGTACCTTCTTGTGGGCAGTCAGTAACAGGTGATAAAACTTCCCTGTGGATGGCATATCAGGGACTTTGATCATTCTGTGCTCAACCTCTGAGCAGGCCCCTCAGATTTTCTTCATTTTGGAAGTTCAAAGGCGGTTCCAAAGCTTTTCATGCTGCTCCTTGAGATTCTAGTCTTCTCTGAATACTATGTGGTTTTCACTGATGCTTCTGTAGCCTTTCTAGTAACAGGCATCTCCTCTGAATGTCCTTCTTTTAAGTCTCTTACCTCGCCATATCCATTGTGATTGGAGCAAGACCAGATTCCTTTCTTTTACACATCAAAGTCTTCTTATCTCCCCTCAGTCTTCTCTGTAGACTGAAGAACACCAATTTTTTGAGTGTTTTCTCAGAGATCATTCATTCCAGATATTATTCTCTTCTGGACTGTCTTCAGTCCCCCCTGTTTCCAGACCATTTCTCCATCTGTCAAGATGAGTTTGGATTACGTTTCTTCTTTCCAGTGTGTTTATAGCCTCTCCCAGTTTAGTGTCTGCTGCACATTTTGTAAGGCTACTTTGTTCCATCAAGATCACTAATGAAAATAGTGAATAGTACTAAACTCTGCTTACCTCAAATGCATCTTTTAATTTTGACAGTGAACACATGAAAAATTTGGGCCAGAGCACTCAGTTCTCCCAGACTAAGGTACCTGGGTCCTGTATTCCTAGTATGGCCCCATCACAGGAAGGGCAGCATTTGGGTTAAGACGTGAAGAACCATCTTGGATTTATAGCATCAGTTCATGTTTTAATAACTGAGAAAAGACAAACTAAAATTGAAAGGCAGAAAAAGAGGTTTGTCTTTGCAATCTGAGTACAGAGAACAGTAAACATGATAGATTACAGCATGAAGCATGAAGACTGCTGTATTATGGGGATACAACTAGCCAGAGTTCTCCAAGCTTGAATGCCTCAGAAATGGAGTATCTCTGCAAGCAGCCCCTCCAAAGAATGAGGGAAGATTGAAAATTTTACAAAATAATCCCAGACTTTCTTAGGTTCCAAACCAGTCCAGAAAACAGAGGTGCCAAGAGAGGCTGTGAGACTAAAATCAGGCTGGAAGGCAGGGAAAGAAGAGCTTGCAAATAGGGGAGAAAAGCAGAAAACAGAAGGTAACCCCACCATCAGACTCCAATCTTACACCTCTGCAATCAGTGGGAGTTTGCAGGAGAAGGAGCATACCTGTGGTTAAAGATGCCCCTTCCTCCCCCATGAGCAGTGGTGGGCACATCAAGCTGAGTACAAGTTTTAATAGCAGCTGGGCTCATAATTTCCTTGGAAGGGGGGCTTGGCTCCCACCCTGCATGCTGAGGGCTCTCCATTAAAAAAGCCAAATAAGATCATTTGGTTCAATATAAAATGAATTAAAGTAAATTAAACTGCAGGAGCCATGTGGCCTGCAGAGGCCTCCATTGTTGTACACACATAAATGGCAGCTTTTCATTTTCACTGCTAAGGAATGACAGCTTGAGGGGGGTGGAATTAAAAATAAGGAAATAAATAACAAAAAGACACAGTTGCCAAAGATTTCGTTTAGGAAATCCCAGGTGCCTGCAAGTCTCCCATCCCCTCCTCATGCTGCTGTCAGCAATCTAAGCTGATATCCTGAGGAATGGAGTGAAGCATTGGGGGGGGA